GACCTCTTTTTCTGTCCTCCTCTCGGCAGCCCTGTGTGCACCTCTCCACCGGCCACCAGCAGAAACACCGAACCTTCTACGAGTTCCGTACCTACTGCATTCGTCCAGACCAGAACGCCGCCTTCCACAAGCTGACCAATGAGAAGATCCACCTGCGCACCACCCACTCCAAGCTGATTGGCTACTGGAGTGTCGAGTATGGCGGCCTGAACCAGGTCTTCCATATATGGGAATATGGTAAGTACGTTCCTCTTCTGTGTGAAGTTAGTTCTTCTTTATGTGATTTTAGAGTGTACCTGCCCCCTCAGACAGTTACTCTCAGCGGGCAGCGGTCCGGGCTGCCCTGGCTCAGGACCCCTCCTGGATCTCAGAATACACTTCCAAGGCGATGCCGATGCTCACATCTCAGGACAACGAGGTCACCTACCTGGTCCCCTGGAGCCACCTGCAGAGGCCGCCACAGGAGGGCGGTAAGCCCTGCTGCCACACTCTAAGCACTAATGACATCACGACTGCATTATAACACCAGGTGTGTGTTTCAGGTGTGTACGAGCTGGTTTCCTTCCAGATGCGTCCTGGTGGTCCGGCAGTTTGGGGTGATGCCTTCCAGGCTGCAGCCACCTCCCATGATGCACCAGGGTACGGCAAACTGGTGGGAGCGTTCCACAACGAGTTTGGCCAGATGAACACAGGTAACCTGTAAAAAAAATAATGCGATAAGAACACAGGCAGGTTTCTCTGGGCTGCCAGTTACAGTCCGACGCTGGCACCAGTTACACTATCCAGTGTCCGCTCCCCTCACTCAGTGTTTACTGTCAGTGTCCACTGTCTAAAGTCGATGCCAGGGTCTCTCAGCAGTTTGTCTGTGCAGTGTCTCACACAGGGACCATTGTGCTTAACGCCGTCTCTGTCTCTCGGCCAGTTCACGCTCTCTGGTGGTTCGAGAGTGCCGACCAACGAGCTGAACTTCGACACAAAGCTCACACTGATGCTAGAGTGGTCGCTGCAGGTGAGACCCCGCCCACAGTGACAGTGCTGTGGAGCTCTCTGATTTTTGATTTTGATCTTTGATGGACTGGGACCTTCTATTAGTCATCGCCGCCACCATCCCAGTAGTTTCCTGCTGTCTAAACCACAGCTCTTAGACTTGAAAGGGTCAGTTCACCCAAATGAAAATCATCTTGCAGAAATAGAACCGGTTTCTCAGAACAAAGTAGCTCCACTACATCTGTGGATGTTATTCAGAATAACTGGATGTCTCTTTCTGGAGGAACTGTTTCTGATAAAGCTTTGATATCTTGTAACTCAGCACAAGCTCAGGTCTGTTCTCCACTGTGCTGAGGTGGAGAAAGAATCATCAGAATCACATGGGAACGTGTTTGTTTACCAGTCTGAATGTAGTGCAGTAAAATCGTGAAGTAGCACAAAATGGAAATATCCAGTAAAGTACCCAAAGGGTGTGACTGGCTAAACTCTGGGGAACTGCACTGTTTGGTTAAACTGACCAATAAAGGTTAATGTGAGTAATAATTAATAACAGCTGAAATCAATCAGTAATCAATACTATCACTAACAGATCTCTCTCTTGCTCTCAGTCAGGAACAGCGCCGCCCATCTTGACTCTCAGAAGAACAAACTCATGTTTCCCTGCCCTTTCTCTCCGATGAAGTAACTTCCTGTCCAAACACCGGTGTCTCCATGGCAACAAACTGCGTGACCACAACTTTAGATCTTGCCTTTGTCCTCCGTAGGCCCCTGTAGGCCTGAACCTCCTGCAGGATAAACACATCTGCTGATGTCACTGAACCTTCAACACCATGAAAACGCACCAGTGACCTGTGACTGACAGCTGCAGCATCCAATCCAGTGACCTGACTGTTGGTGCTGGGCGGGGCTTCTCTGGTTTATTTGTACAAGAAATGACAGAATGCTCCTTTAAATCTAAGCTCTAAGACGAACTGCTTTTTTTCTGCTGCATGTAAAAAGAATTGAATAATAAACGTGAAGTTGCCGAGACACCTGCTCTACACTATGGTTGATCGATCTCTTGGTCGGCGAACACACTGATCCCGTTATTGCTGATAGGTGTTTACACTAACACAGATGTCATAGTTCCTGCCTGTAGAACATGACGCAGATAGGAGTCATTCATATTTCCAGACATGTCAAGCTTTTTTGTAAGAATAAGTTCAGATAAAACCACTTGCTGAGACTCTTCTGTGGCAGACTTGTAGCTGAGTTTGTGTTCAAAATGTGACCCTGCATGTAAACAAACTAAAAAAGATTCACCCATAGACAGTCAGCAAACTGAACCAAAGGGAAACGGTGCCACATGTTTCATTTTTGAGGACAGAAACCAGGCTTAACATATCAACCCAGAGGTGACAACACAACTGATCAAGTACATCCAGATCGTAAGTAATGAACAGAACGAGTCTGATGAAAAGTCTGAGTCTGTCTGTTCACCGGTTCCTTAATATCTAGTGCTGTTTCTGATTGGCCTTATTCGTCTTACTTTAAAGTCGACTTTATACTTTAAACACCTCTGCAAAGTCATGACATGAAGTCATTTCCAACACCTCACAGCTCAATGGTTGTTTGAAAAGATCATGACGTGGACACATTCCCGATGCCGGGTTCACATATATCACACGTTGTCTGACCTGTGGCTGCAGACGGACAGTTTAGTGTTTGTGACACCTACTTTTAAAAATGGACATGTTGCCTTAAAGCCTCAGAAACTGTTGCTTTCCTGAGTTAAAGATGAGCTGAGAAGTCGAGCAGTAACAGAGGATGTGTTTTATTTTAATGCAAGTGGTTTGGGGTCAGTAACAGTTCCCATCAGCCCTTTCTGTCACATTAAACACTTTCCTGTCGATGATCAGAGAGATTTACAGGGGCATCATCTGTGGAGGGTTCAGTGCAAAGACAAACGGACCATTTAACACGTAAAGTGCTTCAGTCTGATCAGCTGCTTCAGTCAGAGCAGATGTTTCAGCGTCGCCTCCTGCTGGTCAAACTCAATCATCTCCAGCGTCAACAGCAGCTCCAACACAACATTAACGTGGTGGACAATCAATGATTAATCAGTAATCGATCAGCTATTTTATGTTCAATACCATAGTGCGGTGAGGAGCTGAGGAGGTATTTTACCATCTTAAATCTGCTCCTTTTTAATCTTTCCTACAAAAACTATAAAATCAACTCTTCTTCTAGATATCGAGCGCTCTGACTGGCTGTTAAACACTACAGGATACAGCAATGCCACTTGGACTCCTCCAAAATAAAACAATTTTCTGTTTCAGTTACACATATAAATAAAAGTTTGACAATTAAAAACAGAATCACACAGTTTTTAAAAATCAGATTTTTTGCATATGAGCCCTTGGCCATTTGAAATTATTTGGATTCTTCATCGTTAGTACAGACAAAAAATGAACAGACCCTGAAGTGTTCATTAGAGGCACCCTTTAAAATCACAGAAAGCAAAGAAATCGTGTCGGCAGCGATACGAAGCTGCAGGAAGAAGGCAGATATTCAAGTTTGTTTCAACATTCAGTGTGGGCAGCCTCCACAGGGAATCGTTTGCATTGACTGGCATGAGGCAGCAGCTGACAGGGGAGGAGGGGCTCTCTCTTGTGCAGGGTCAGGTCCAGGCTGGCGCTCCGGCCTCCTAAGGCCACATGATCACAATAGGATGGTCAAATGACGCTCTCTCTCGGTCTGCCACCGTCCTCAGCGGCTCCTCGGTTCGAGCTCAACATCGGAATGTTGATGGAAACGTCTTTTCGTCTCACCGAGTTGTCTTTGGAGTGATAGTCGTCACTCTGGTCCTTTGCAAAGTTCACAAACACCTGAAATGATAAACAGGATGAGTCCAAAATACAAAAGCTGCTCCTCAGTCATGTCAGCAAAGAACTTGGGATTTACACGGACAATAAGTGTCATACTGACTGCACTTTAAGAACAGTCAACACCAGCTGTATTTCCTCTGAAAGGCAGCCTCCTCTAGCTCCAGCTGTTTTAGACGTTATTAATGTTCCAACCTTCTGCCTGGCCTGTCATGCCGTCTTACACTGATGCTTCGGGCAGATTTACTAAAATCGTGACCATCACAGCCAATGCTAGGTGCTCAGTAACACGGAGTCAGAGGTCCTTATATCCCGTCTCAGTAAAAACACACTCTGATTGGCTTCCTGAGACTGTACCTGAACAGGTGTGTGTGTTATGCATCTCTACCTGGTCCAGCGTGGTCTGAGTGACAGAGTAGTCTTCGATCCTCAGCATCTCTTTATTTTTGGCCAGGATGGAGAAGATGTGAGCGAGAGAAGTGAGAGATGAAGGCAGCTGGTACTGCAGCATGTTTCTGTGCTTCTCCTTCAGCGTGCTGCCGCTCAGCTCGCTCTTGATGAACTTCATGACGGGCAGCAGATCAGGATCGGGCCCCGCCACCCGCAGGATGATGGTGTACCCGTCACCAAACCTGGGCAACAAGACCACCGATTACAACACGGAGACAGTGACAGTAAACCAGCTTTATCAGGCGGAGGACGATGATGTACCCGTCACCAAACACATTGTGTGTGCAGTGTGTGTTCAAGATCAAAGATTTTTATTGTCCATTCACTATATGTGCAGGACATACAGGAAATCAAAATGCCGTTTCTCTCCCACCTAGTATTGAATGCCATACCATTTAGGAAACTAAAATAGAATAAAAGTAGAGTAAAAATAGACTAAATAGAATAAGAAAACTAAGTCAAAGTGATTAGGATAAAACTAAACGGTACAACCTAATAGGCTATGACTCAAACCCTGTACAATCACTGACTGTGGTGCAAATAATAACAAGAAGATTGTCAGGTGGTTGTGAGACTGAGATGCACATGGACAGTAGTGCAAATGAACAGCAGCAGCAGATTTACATGTAATATAACAAGACAGGGGAATGTAGTGGGTATGTGAGCAGAGGTAGTCTTTATGTTCTGTGGTGGGTCACAGTCAAGGGGGGTGGGGGGAGTAGTGAACAGTATTCAGCATCCTCACAGCCTGGTGGATGAAGCTGTTTGTAAGTCTGGTGGAGTGGACCTGGAGGCTCTGATACCTTCTCCCTGAAGGCAGGAAGTGGGAATGAGCAGGATGGGAGGTGTCATCAGCAATGCTGATGCACACAGTCGTGGGTCAGCAGTGTGAAGAGCAATGGGCTGAGCACACACCCCTGCGGAGCCCCTGTGCTCAGTGTGATGGTCTTGGAGACGTTGCTGCCGACTCGCACATTTGTGGTTAGAAAGTCCAACATCCAGTTGCAGAGAGGGTTTGAGTGTCCAAGTTTTTGTGTAAGGGGAATGATTGTGTTGAATGCTGAACTGAAGTCTAGGAACAGCATTCGCACGTAAGAGTTCTTTGAATCTAGGTGGGTGAGGGCTGGATGGAGAACAGCAGTAATGGCATCCTCTGAGAGGGAGGAGGGGTTGGTCTTCTTCTGGTGTGTTGTTCTGTGTTTCAAAGCGGCTGAAGAAGTTATTGAGGCTGTCTAGCAGAGAGATGTCACTATCACAGCTCCGGGGTTTATAGCCTGTGAGGGTTTGTATGCCTCACCAGAAACTGTGCATCTCTAGTGAAGAAGAAGTGTCCAGATATTTTTGTATATCCCTGATTCCACGGGACTGGTTGGCTCTTGCTGTTGCTAGGCCTGTGGTGTCGGTGTCGCCGGCCCAACAGGCTGCATCCTGAGCCCTCAAGGATGTATGTTACACACAAGAAATTTGTTTCCGCTCTACCCATCGGGGGGTTCAGTGCCTTGCCCAAGGACACTTCGACAGGTGGACTGAAGGCACTGAGATTCAAACCTTCAACCTTCTGGTTGGGAGACGACTGCTCTACCCACTGCACCACTGTCGACTCCCCTCAAGAGTCTGTGATTCTGTCTGTAAAGCTGTTGCATTACTTTCAACTGATTTTTCTGGCATTGGTCTTTTGGCTGAATTGAATCAACCAATAATATTCTGTATTTTATGGGGGAAATAAACACTGTAAAAGAAAAACGGAATTGCAGACAAACTCAAAAACTTTTTGGTTCATTAAAACATGACACCAAGCTTTGTTAAACACAGAATAACAAACAAGCACATGGAGGCGATTACATAGTATTGATACTGAGAAAGATTTTGAATTATTCTTCATCTGCGACTGATTTTTTTTTCTTCAGTGTAATTGATCCAATTGAGTTTGGATTCAGAGAATCAGTTAGAACACACAGTTTTACTGTTGTTTCAACCATGTACAGCGGATACAGTGCATAGTGAAGCGAAGCAACGTTCCTCCAGGTTCTCGGTGTAACATAAAAACATATACAAACCAATAGAAATAGGAAAATGACACATAAAATACATGAGACCCTACAGGTCTAAAAGAAAACTATACTGAAGGCCCCACATGGGACTGCACATATCTAATAAAAGATTATACTAAGAATTGACCCTTGACCTTCAGATTATGGGTTAGGTGTTCGGGTTAGTGGCGCGCTTCTTGTTTATAGTGATGACTTGTGTGTTTACATGACTTTAGGTGTCTGTGTACAGCCCCCCACCTGTAGGCCAGTGATGTCCTTAAAACACAAAAAAAAAAACAGTGTCACACCCGGGTGTGTGTGTGTGTGTGTGTGTGTGTGTGTGTGTCAGCGCTACCTGTTCTTCAGGTGTTGGACGCTGCCGAGACACCTGAACCTGCCATTCACCATGATGGCCATCCTGGTGCACAGAGCCTCACACTCCTCCATACTGAAACACAACACACACACAGTCAATATGCTCATACACACAGACAGTACAACACACCAGGGGGCCATTTACTAAGGTTTTGTGGCATTATATGGTGGATCTGTGTTTACATTTACTAAGGAGTCACAGTGGGAGAAAAAGCAGCGGCAAGGCAAGAATGTGAACATCGGGTCTCGTGCTCTCTGTATTTTAAATAAAGAGTAGAGAATGGACGTTCACACAAACACCCTCGACTCCTGATTTACCGCAGCTGCAACAGAGGAAACTGCAGCTGAACAGTAACGTCAGGGGAAAGCA